CCGGCCCGCCCTCCCCAGCGCCGCCACCTCCCCGGCCGCTCCAGGCCCGCCTGGTTCCTCTGCGAGGCCCGAGGGGCGGAGCCGACAGCGCACGCCCCCTTCGCCCCGCCCTCGCGCTGCGCCTGCCACTCACCCGCCAGGCCCCCGCCCACATCTCCTCCTCACCTGGGCCAGTCCCCGCGGAGCATTTTATTGATCTGATCCAGGAGCCCGGCCAGCAGGTGAGGGGCGGGGTCCGGTTCCCCGCCTCTGAGTCCCCACGCGGAGGTTTGGCCTGGCTGGAGCGGACCGGTCGCCCAGTGACCTCTTCTCCACCCTCACTCGGGCCGCGACCCACACACGGGCTCAACCGCAGCGGTAATAACCAGAACAGCAGTTTACAAACCGCTTTTCCCAGCTTGGCTCATCGTAGTGGTTAAAAATAGGGTGCTCTGGAGTCAGCCTGACCAGGTTCATGTCCCACTCGGTCACCTGTAAGATCTTGGGCAAGTTTTAAGGAAATATAGCTTTCTTACTTCAATTTTCTCATCTGTTAAATGGGGGTGTTGATAGCAACTACTTCCAAAGTGGTGGTACTAAATGAAGCGATGCATGGAAACTTTTACACACACGCACACGAGGAGCTTAGAAAATGGAGTTCCTTTCACCATCCCAATTCTTGCAGCTACAGAGGCAGCATACTGCGCCCGGCTCCGAATCCTATCGCATATCCTTTGTCAGCTGGGGCAAGTTTCATCCTCTGTCTGAGCTTCAGTCGTCTGCAAAAGAGGAATCATAAAAGGCCTTCACAGGATTACGCGACATAGAAGCAAGTAAAGCGCCCAACACAGAAATCCGAAAGTGGACGGGGCAATGATTTTTTTTTACAGGCTGGCATACGGGGGCTCAGAGAGCACAGGCTTCCTTAAACTCTCGGCCCCCACGTGGTAGGCTCTTTGCCCTCCCACCCCTCAGATCTTCCCGGGCTGCACTCGGGGTCTGCTGTGGGCCTACCTCCTCCCCCGCATTCCCCCAGGCAGGGAAGATTTTCCTTCAGCTCCCGCCTAAAGCGCCGTGGTGACGCCCCGCGAGGCAGGTCCGGGCGGCGCGCCGGGCGCTTTCAAGTCCCTGGTCCCGGGCTTGCAAGTGCGGGCCTGCGCCCGGCGCGGCTGCAAGAGCATCTGCCCTCGTGTGCCGACTTCGCGGCTCCCAGAGCAGGGCTGGGGCGGTCCCGGCCCGCGGGCTCTCCGGTTCCCCTTAGACACATCGGCCCCTGCGTCCCCTTGCCACCTCTAAGCTGCCCCATCGCCCACTCCCAGGGTCCGCCTCTCCCCACCTCACCCCCATGCTGTTCCCAAGGTTGAGCCCCAAAGGCACACCTTCCTCCCACGAGGCCTTTCAATCTTCATCCCTTTCCGCCCACGCGACCCAGAACTGAGGCAAGAAGAATCTTGTTCAGTCATTGTTTTCACTGTCATTCCCGAGTTCAAGAATCCTCTGGGATCCTTATTGGAGCAGGAGGACACCCCTGCCCCCGTCCCCGCACCAAGGGACACCCAGTCCCTGGGGACACACCCTCCACATCCCACCTGGCGTCTCCCATTCTTGCTCACCCTCTTTTCTCCACCATTTTGCCCCCCACCCGCGCTTCCAAAACCTCTTCCTCCTGCAGGACCTGGGAACTCTGCACCTAGAAGGAGAATGAAATGAGAAGATGCAGGTGAAACCATCAGCACAAAGTAAGCACTCAGTAAAGGTGACCCTTCCTCCATTCAACAAATATTTAGTGAGGTAAAAGGGAAGGAAACTAGACTTTGGGTGGTGAGCACGCAATAGAGTAAACAGATACTGTATAATATTGTACACCTGAAATTTATGTCATTAGCCAATGTTACCTCAATAAATTTAATAATTAAAAAAAACAACCTAGTGAGAAACATGCCAAGAGCAGCAGGACAAGCTTACATTCTAATAGTGGGGATGAGCCAGTTAATCCACATGAAAATAACATCCATTTCAGAGAGCTAAAAGTACTACTAAGATAAGAAATGATGTTGACAGAATGATCTGTGGACTGTTTTAAATAGAGAGCTGGGGAAAGGTTTTAGCAAAGCAGGACATAGCTCTACAGTTTACAAGATTTTTTCGCATCCCATCCCAGTTTCAGAGGAGGACATAGGAAGGGGCAGGCAGGAGATTTTAAATAAGGTTTATTTGGCCAAGCCTGGGAATTCTTGCCTCATGATTCTAGCTTCAGCCTGTCCTGCCCCCCTGAAAGATGGGTACCAGCCCCCTCCCTTCATTTGGCTCTCCTAGCTTTGTGTGCAACCAGAATGGGCTATGTAATTCTCAGGGCCCAGTGAGAAATGAAAATGTGGGGATCTCTCGTTCAAAAAGATTAAGAATTTCAAGATGGTGACCACAGAGCATTAAAACAAGTGTGGGGCTGTTCTAAGCCCAGGGACCTGTGTCAGTACCCAGATTGCCCGCCCATGAAGCTGGCTTGTCCAACAGAACTCAGAAATAGCGTGCAAGCTCCTGCCCCCACTGGCTGCTATGAGAAACATCCCTCATGCCTTCCCCAGGCCTCCCTCCCCTCTTTTCCAGCTTAAAACTCAGCACAGGTGATGGAAACAGTGCACAGAGGCTAAAAATATAGCCTAGCCAGTCTAGGTCAGGGCACTTAATGGCTCAAGGTCTTTTGCTCAGTTATGTGGTCCTGGCCCTGGTGAGGAGCAGCCTGAGATATTCATTTCAATGCTTCACATGCCTCAGTCAGTTAGCAGCTTTATTTCATGGAAAGAGTGAGGACACTGACTGTAGCCCCTGGGCCTTCAGGAAGATGGTGTCTATCTGTTTACCTACTTGCACTCTGCAGTTGGGCCCTTTGATTCCTCTGAGGGCAGCAGGATTTGCCAAAAAGCTGGGAGATCTCAGCTGACAGAGTTTGAGTGATCCTGGTATCTTTGAAACTCCAGTTAGGGCGATTTCTGCTCCCAGGGCAGTCAGGTTATGAAACAAGCACAGGATGAGGAACCTGGTTATAATTATAAGCATGACAAACATTGATTGAGGACTTTACCAAACTCTAGGCAGGGCGCAGTGCTTGCCTCTCAGTAGCCCTGTGAAGGAGTCACCCATACCACCCCTCATACAGGGAGGTTAAATGGCTCACCCAAAGGTCACATAGTGGGTGGAGCTGGGCTTTAAACCCAGGCCATGAGACTCTAGGACTACACTCCCAATCACCATGGTGAATTGTCTTCTTGTCCTTATGGGGCTGTAGTGACAAATGCTTACTGAGTGGTCCAGGGCCAGGATTAGGGTGAAATGAGTGAGGCATTCACCTCAGGTGTGAAATTTAAGGGGGCCCCAAAAATTCAGTAATCAAAGAAATAAATATTATTGAATAAGTTTAAAAATATATTAAATATATTTAATAAGTAGTGGGTTTTTTGGGGTTTTTTACTTTTTTTAAATTGGGGAACAGTGTGTTTTTCCAGAACCCATTAGCTCCAAGTCAAGTCGTTGTTTTCAATTTAGTTGTGAAAGGCGCAGCTCACTGGCCGATTTGGAATCCCAACGGCAACCTTGATGTTACAAGCACTGTACTCTAACCAACTGAGTCAACTGGCCGCCCCAATAAATAGTGTTTTAATGCAATATATTAAAAAATCTAAATGAACGCTAAAAAATTCAAGATGAACAAAATATCAAAATTTTAAATAAAAACAGGATCTAGGTTCCTGATTTTCCGTTAGCCTCAGACTCAGCTCTGCGTGGTACTTTTACTGATCCTATCTCCCAGGTTTCCAGGCCAGGCAAATCGTGATGTAAAATTCAAGAGAAGTAGTAGTTTGCTTGTTCTGATGTGGGTGGAGGGAGAGAGAATTTGATAAGAACATAATGAGTTAGAGGTGTTTGTGGGACATCCAGTTGGCCACATCTGAGAACTCAGAGTCCGGTGAGAAGGGTGCGAAGGGCACCCTTATGTTACATATTTGGCCCATGATAGGTGCGTATTCTACACATGTGGTCTAAATCACTGGTCCTCAGAGTTTGCATCATGGTTCAGGAATCTTTTCAAATTCTCTCATCCAAAGTTTTTCTCTTCTTTCCTAAACAGTCTACATCACGAACCTCAGATATGTTCCCATATGAGTGTGGAAGTTTACTGCTTAGGTGTTAAAAGAAAAACATCTTCAACTAAATTCCACTAGAATTTGGGGCTGGGGTATGACGGGAAAAGACAAGAATTAATATAAATTGGCTCAATTTCTTCTTTATTGACTGATCCTCCAAAAAGAGAAGAGGAGCTAAGAGAAATTAAAGAGAAGAAAGTGTGTAGTAAAGGAAAAAAAGAAAGAAGAAACATTATAGGAGCTAAAAATACAGTGAGGAGAGCTTGGCTAAGCATCAAAGAAGGGCAGATGTGTTTCCAAATAGAAGTGGTGGTTTAGATATGTCAGGAAGCACAGCTCCAAATGATGGGTGGAAAATAAAAGTTATTTAGACTGAGCTCAGCAGAATAAAAAAGGTTCATTGGGTAATCAAACTGAGGAACAGGCCTTTTAACAATAAGGAAGCCCTACTTTTTTAACCCCAAGTTCATGAATCAAGTGCTAACACCAACAATGGAAACTCTTGCCATGGTTTCAAGACCCTGAACCAAAGAGAGCCTTTCCACCCCGACTTTGTAATTCTGAACAACCTTTGATGGAACAATCTCTATTGAAGATTAGTCAATTTCCTTAGCATATCCTCAGGGACCCACTTTCCTTTGTCTAACCAAGCATGGGATATTCTGGACAACTCCCACAACCAAGGGCAATGTACCTCCTATAAATACACTGCTTTTATTAAGGTGAAGAATCTGACAAATGTTTAGTGAAGATGGATCATGGGCAAAGAAATGTTGGGATGCACAGAGCAGAATCATTCTCCACTTTAAGAGGATCATTAGTTGGTCTCATAAACCAGATGAATGCACCTGAGGGACCCAAGACAAAGTTCATATCTAATGTTGGGTTATGTCACTCAGACCATGGGCAATAGGAACTCAATAAAAGGTCAGATGGGCAAATGGGCCACAGTATTAATAATGTTAATAAGAACATTATTTATTGAGTGCTTATTATGCACCAGGAGCCATGCCAAGTGCTTCATATGTATTGTCCCATTTCATCCTCACAGTGAGCCTGGAGTAGGCGCTACTACTATCCCCATCTCACAGATGAGAAAAATAGGGCTCAGAGATGTGAATTCACTTGCCCACGGAGAGATGAATCTGAGACGTCAACTCAGGCAGACTCACTCATGAGGTCCAGAGGAAGTCTTGTGACAAGAATAGGACAAGGATGGGCCCAGGTGCGGTAGGTGGATGGGTCGACCAGATGAGGAGCAAAGCATCACAGCGATAGCTTGGTGAGAGCACAGTAAGGGCAAGGGTGCTATAGATTTTGGTTGAGTCCAGCCTTTGTTGGTTACTAGCTTTGGGGCATGATTCTTGAGCGATTTGTGTCTCAGTTTCTTCATCTGTAAAGTAGGGATGGCAACAGTACCCAAACTCATAAGACTGTTGGTATCATTTTAGCAGATGGTGCTTGTAAAATGCCTAGAGCAGTGCCAGGCCTAAAGTAAGCATTTAATAAATACAGATTTTACTGACATAGGAGAAAGAGCAAAGGCCAAATTATGCTGGGTTAGCTCCAAGGATTGCGAGGGTTTCCTGTTGGGGTACAGTCAATTGAAATGAGTTACATTGAAAGGAGAGAAGGCAGAATTTGATGGAATTGAAGCGTATGTATCAGTTACCATCCATGTGAACAGCTCTGTGCTAGAAGAAGATGTAGAGTGTTCCTTGGAGCCATAGCAGTGTCACGTGGTCATTGAATAAAACGCCTAGGAAAGTAAATACAAGAGATGAGTGTTTGGAAGGAGGAGGTGTGGGAAGGCCAACCTCAAGATGTGGAAGGAGAGAGGATAAACAGAAGAGCTACTCCCAGGATGCCTTTCTTGCCCAACTTTTCCCTCCTGTACCTGTCATGCAGATTAAAGGCAGACAGTAGCCCCAAGATTCTGGTGCCACCTCTGCGGGATTCACTGGCTTTGAAAGGATGCTTGCCTGCCCAGTCTCCAGACGTTCGCAAACCCTTCCCAAAGACAAACCCTTTCCAACGCCCTGCTCTAAAACTGACCCACCTCTCTGGAGGTGAGGCCAGGGCTCACCGCTGAATGGGCCCCATTGTCCTCGCAAGCGTCTGTGGGTCCAGATGCCATCAGCCTGGAGGTGGTTCCACCACGGCCTGCAGTGCGGTCTGCCTGCAGACTTTGATTCACTCCAGGGACAACACTCGAAAAATCAAAACAGGCAACACATGCAATTCCAGGAACGCCTGCCAGGCACATACTCTGTTTTTCCATCATTTCGCTCTCCTTCCCCCTTGGGAGGGAGCCTCCTTTGGCATTTTGTGTATGAAAAAAATCAAAACCACCAACAGGACAAGCACCTGATAAGGAAGGAGCTAGGCAATGCCTAAGCGTTCCCAGGAAGAGGCGTCTTTGTTCTCGTTTCAAGCCCTTGACACTGCTAACAGCTCTAATTACTGCATTTGCCATGGGATGTAAACTAAAACCACATTCCAGAAACCATGTAGTCTCCTGGGGAGAGACACGCAGGGAGAGGTGCCCAGGGCTGCAGGAACGTGTTCTTTCATTTCTGGTCCCTAACCTTGGCAGCTATTCTGAGGATTTAACAGTACCTCCTTTATGTGCATGATGAAGGGCACTTTTGCACATGTAAGGATGCATCTCACCACCTGTATCCACAAAACTGGTCTGTGTATTTGACAACGTGGCATGCAAAGCGTGCTTCTTAAGAACATTAAAACCTTCAAAATCCACCCAAGCCATTTTGGGGGAAAGGAGGACTTCAGAAGTTCCTGGAAGTGCAACAAGTAGAACTTCTTCCAACATAATTTTAACTATAAAATCTGATGATGTAACACCCACCCACACCCACATCACAAACCAAAGTGACATCACAAATACTAGAGATAATAGTTCAAAACTGCCTGAATGTAAGCCAAAATCTAAAGCTGCAATTTGCCCATATGTGATGGAGGCAGAGAAAGACAGGTGACTAGAAATATTAAAACCAAACCAAACCAAACAAAAACAAAAGAGAAAAAAAGGAAAAGAAAATACATGTTGCTTCCCCCTACTAAGCTAGCTAAAATAAAATTTAAGGCAACTGAAATATGGTAAGGTGATTTTATTTTTTATAGATGACATTTCTTAGAAAGCCAGGTCTCTTTAAATATGTGACTTTAATCTAGCCAGATTGTTCCCTTGTTCTTGGCTGGTCCTGAGAAATGGAGGCCAGAGTCATTTACAATTGTGCTTTTGCCTGTATGGACCTCAAGAGTATAATTCCCTGTATAGCAGCTTGTTTTGGCTCATGGCAACCTCGTTAGAAAGTATTATCAGGGTGTGGCAGGACTTTACTTGCTGTCATTTCTGTGCGGTAGCATGGTTGAGAAGTGACTGCAGCTCCTATAGGAATCTTGAGTGATCCTGTCTGCCATCCCTTTCTTGTCACAGGGTTCCCTTAGCTTCCCAGCAGACAGGAATTACATTTGATTTCTTGTAAAGCACCCTGATCCCTCACTTCTGGCCCAAGCATGTTATGTTCTCTGAGAGCCTGAATATCACCGTGACCTTGGTACAAAAGTCTTTGGTGAGCAGGAGAGAGGATGTGTAGAAAGATTTCTAAGATGGATGTGGAAGGAAAGGTTTCTAAAAAGATGTTAAGACTTCACCTCCAAAGTAGACCTTCTGGTCTCTGTTTGAGAACTGGTCTTTTTTATTCCTTTTTTTTCTCTCTCCTTATAATTCTAGCATCCAATCTATGTGAGACGAGACCCTGGCATCCCCACTTATGGACTCCGACAGTCTATCTTACTGAACACCAGGCTTCAGGACTGCTATGTGGTCTCACCAATTCTCACCAACATCTGGACGGCTAGAATGTGTGCAAAGCAGAACATCAAGGCCCCAGCACCAGGGATCACCTCTTCTTGGGAAGTTGTAAAGAACCCATTAATTGCCAGTTCGTTCTCCTTGGTTAAGCTGGTGCTCAGGCGACAACTGAAGGATAAATGCTGCCCAGTACCATGCAAATTTGGAGAAGCAAAACATTCGAAGAGATTAAAGCCCAAGGAGGAGGATTCAGCAATGAAAGCTACCAGACGGGGCAGGATAAGAAACTCCAGCAGTTCCAAGAGCAGGCGGCCTGTGGGGCAGCGACCTGGCTCACCTCGGCGCAGGAGGCCTGCGGGAGGAATCAAGGAGGTAGATGATGGCGAGTGGTGGAGAAATTGTGATGAGGAGGGGTGAGGGAACTGTCAGCTAGAGAATACCTAATGGCTTAAGAGATTTATATGAAGGATAGCCTCAAGTTAAAGACAAGATTGCTGGTGGTGAAGGATGGGGGTGGGGGACAGCAGCATGACACAGTGGAGAGAGCAGCAGATCTGGGGGCCATATTATTTATACCCTGCCTAGTTCTAAAGGAGGATGAAGTGACTTTCATAAACAGACTAAAGGAACTCGACATGAAGGGAAAATAAGGGTGGGAAAGGCCAGGATATGGGTAGAGTGTGCAGGCACGCACACTGGAATATCAGAGGTGAGCCACAGCTAGCTATGAACGTCCACATGGAGAACTTGGCATCTAGAGGCCTGATGGGAGTCCAGTTCCATCACTCATGGTGGCCAGCAGAGCTCAGAATGCTCCCTGGAGATAGGCTGTCAGGTTCATATCCCAGCTTTGACTATAATTAAGGACAACGGTGGGCTTAGCCTCTTTCTGACTTGGTTTTTGTCATCTATAAAATAGGGGATAACAGCCCTTCCCTCATAGGGTTTCGTGAGGATTAAATGAGTTAATACATGCAAAGGGCTTTTGAACAGAGCCTGGCACAGAGTAAATGGCTTAGGATCCCGCATGGCATTCAATAGATGACAACTGTGGTTATTAACTTTCTAGCTGTGTGGCCTTGGGCAAACCAATTCCAATTTCCTTCCTTTTCAAGCTGTCTCCTGCTGACCTTACAGGGTTATGGGGAACGCATGCAGTGGTGTACATGAAGGAATTCAGTAAACTAGAACACGCTAGACAAATGTTGGTTATGGCTGTAACCAAGACTCTGGGACACAAATCCCAGATAATTATTCTGAGCTCCCTTCTCAAGTTTTAGCTTTGACTTCTCTGCTTTCTTCCTGGCTAGAGTAAAGAAAGTTCAAAGGAGAAAAAAGTAACAGGCCGCCAAGATCTTGAGAACAGATATGCCGAACATGTGGCAGCCACCCAAGTGCTACCCTGGGACATTGGGACAGCAGCCTGCAATGGCCAGGCATTGCTTCCTGAAGCCAGAAAGGGACCGCAGTTGTCAGACACCCTAACCATCCACGGTCTCCCCACGGAGGGTTACCGGGCTCTGTACCACGCGGTGGTCGAGCCCATGCTGTGGAATCCTTCAGGGGCCCCCAAGAGGTACAGCTTGGAGCTGGGCAAGGCCATCAAGCAAAAGCTCTGGGAGGCTCTGTGCAGCCAGGCTGCCGGCCCCAACGGTGCTCAGAAGGATCGGTTGCTGGACAGGAAGCAGTTGGAGGTCCATGAGGAGCCTGTGCCCAAGAAATGGCCCAAGTTAAAGAGGGAGAAATAGAAACAGGAACTCACGGGAATAGGATATTCTCTGCTAGATGACTCAAAAATAAACACCACTTTGCACCTTCCATGTAATCTCAGATTGCTTTACAAATTAGTAACTACCCTCTCCGGGAAACAAGACAAATGGGTACAAGATTCCTTTGAGACTGAGGGCGCCTCTCTAACTCACATTAGCAGGTAATTTCAAGGGCTAGATGCTTGGGGTTTTTTTTTTTTTTTCCCCTCCCTACAAGCCCCTTTCCCTTGGGGTTTGAGCATCTCCCCGCCTTCCAGGTAGGCAAAGTCCTGGCAGATGAAGCCAATGGTTTATATCCAGCCTATGTTCCCAGTTTTTAAAACGAGTCCTGCTAAGATCCACTACCATTTCCCTCACTCCCTAAACACAGGGCTGAGCTGAAAAGCTACCATCGCCTCAAGGACGTAACCCCACCACTCTCTATCGGATGCTCTCCCGTGACAGCATCTAAATCCCCAATAAGCTGAACTCTATGTTAACGAGAGAGGAAATTATATGGATGCTCCCAGGCTTCATGCAAACCTCTCCTCTGGGGAACTAGTGTAGACCTCTACCAAACAGAGCGATGACAACATATAACACGTACTTGATAAAATTGTATTTTTTTTTACAGTCATTTGTACAATTTGTTACAAAACCATAGAAGACTACAACTTGTTTTAAATCATTTTTGGTCGGCAAATATGTAAAATCTGTGTGCAATTAATCATGTATTTACAGGGCCTCATGTTAGTCATTTTCAATGATTATTCCAACAATGTCACACTCTCAACATAAGACATGGCTTAAGATAAATATATTAGTAAATAAATATTCTGAGAACATATTTCCATAAATGAAATGTGCTGCTATACATATACAGAATATACATAAGTTGTTTTCTAGCCTTTAAAACATTTTTTTTTAAATGGTAATGTTGGAGGAGCCCTTAGACCATTTTTATTACAAAATCTTTACAGCAAAGTCTTTACAAAATATCTTTTAAGTGCTCTGGGATAAATTTTTTAAAAAACATTTAAAAATAGTGCCTTGTTAGACCAACACAATAGAGTTTATATAAAGAATAGAAAAAGGCAGTTCTGTTTAAAAAATAATACTCTGGATTAGTCATTATTTTTTTAGACCTCATTTCAAAAGCATTAGTCCTGCATGAACTTCTGAGTAGAAACTAGCAGCACAAAAGGGAGCGTCTGAGCAGTGGGACAGCAGATGGGGCTTTAAAAAATGGCTTGGGTTCAGAGAGGGGGAAAGAGACTGAGAGTGAAAGCCAGCATACTGGGGCTGTGTCTGTAAAGAGGTACCTTGTTGATCAGAGCTCTGCCCCCCTCCCCCCAATTTTAACTGGTTCTAGCACTCTTCAGTTTACATGGCAGTCCTACATCGGGGCTGGGCCAGGGGACCACACCCAGTGGTCACACCCTGGCTTGAGGTGGGTGGGGGTGGATTCTCGATGGAAAATGCAATCTCCTGGCTTCCACAGCTATATGCCCCCCCACACCACTGAGGGGACACTGAAAAAGGTACTAGTCATCGTTATTGGGGTCTTACTTCACAGAAGACATTTCTTTTTATTTAAATGGTGAGGCAATAATATAGCTGGTTACTATATTCTGGTGACCTCCCTGTCTGATGAGCCAACACCAATTTAAGATAATGGCTAATAAAGTTTCAAAATTTCAGTTTTCTGTTTCTACCATCCTGTCAACTACAGACATTAAATGGGCTTCTTTTGTCCTCTGTAGTGATTGTTCTTTCAAATGAAAATCAGACACATTTATTTTAATAAGCCCTGTTGAGGCCACATTCTCTATCCATCTACTCGTTGCTTCAGGCTGCTGAGGAGTGATTTTCCAGCTAGGGCTAAAGAAAGCCACTTTGGGGGTATGGTTTCAGACAAGGAAGATAATATGCACTCCAAGGCATTAAAGACAAACAAAACCATAAACAAGTAAAAAAAAAATCTCAACAATGAGAAGCTGCTCCTTGCAGTACATGTTACAATCCAGACCCCCACCCGGCTTCCCCAAAGCCATGTAACGCAAGCTGTTGTCCTCAGCAGCTGCTGCTCCTGGCCTGAGAAATACAGGCGGCCCAGATCACATGTCAACAGCTTAGGCGCTTCTCACACCCTCGCCAACAGGTGTGCTGGGCACAGGCCCGGGGGTGGGGGGTGGGATGGGGGTGCGGGGGGAGGAGTGGCCCCCAAGGGACTGCACCTCAGAGGTTGGAGGACAAATCTCAACACAGGGAGTTCCTAAATGGCAAATGGCTCAATCATTTGACACTGGAATTTCCTGTCAAATCTTGGCTAGAAGTAAGTAAATTTCCTCATCACAGGCTGCGGTTTTTAAGAAAAAAGGATTCCGATGGCGTGAGGTTCTCACTCAGAAAGTTCTGGTCTGGACCCTGGGGCAACTTCCCCTGAGCCTCACTGCAGAGGACCATGCCTCCACCTATAAGGGGGCCAGCTCCCAGGGTTCCTATTTCGCAAACGAGCTTTTCTGGTGGCACCCAATATCTGCGGGGTAAATGAATAAAAGTGACCAGGAAAGTTAGTGAACATGGGGCGAATGTGATTAGTTTCTTCTAAGAAAAAATTTTAAGGACAAGAAATACATTGGACCAAAAGGGTGACAATCCCTGATGTGAAATACCTTTAAATAGATTCTCCCTTTTAAAATGGAAACATCTTTTAAAAAATGACTTGGGTTTTTAAATTCTCCCTCCCTCTTAAAAACAAAAAACAAAAAAACCAAAGGCTGGAAAAATATACAAAAACCTACCTACCCTTTGGGTCTAAACTATCTGATAGTCTCTTTCTCTGTCTCCTGGAGGATCAATACATAATAGTGCATTAGGTAGAAAGGATAGTAGACATTTGCAGGTGAGATGAGCAACTTCAGCCATGAGGCAGAGGGCTGAATAACCCTGAAGCAGTGCCTCAGTAGGGAAGTGAGACAGGAAACGTTATCATTCAAACCCAGCTTGGTGCAGACCCGATGGGGTACCAGCCATGCGCCTCCAGGAAGGCAGCCCAAGGACGCAGCAGCGCCCGTGTGCCTTCTGTTCTCAGTCCCATCAGATGCCAAGGCTGCAAACTACGTTCCTCCTAGGTGTTTGTCGCCGCATACCCCGTCAAACTATTTCTGCAGCCAGTTGTAGGAAGCCCAAGATCAGCACCAGGAACCCTGGCCTTTACCTTAGGACGATAACTCCTGGGGACAGACTGAGGACACTGGGCAGAATCATCCCTGTACCCCAGGGGCTTCCATAGCAATGGCTTGCCCTGGCCCCCTAGTGCTGCAGACCTTGCACCTATTCCTAGCTGTTTCCATCAGCTGCCTAAAGGTGTGGGCTGGAGAAGCATGGCTTCCGAGAAGGCCTGAAATTTTGTATGTTGGGATTTGCCACGAGAAAGAAAGAGGCAGCATTGCATTGTTCTTCAGAGTTTGTACCCATATCGACTAGCTTTACTTCAAGTTTCTGGTTCATTTTCTAAGGCAGGTGTAGCCCTGAGCTTTTTAAAGGCCTGAGCTCCCTTCAGGGGAGACAACAGTATCTACACATGATGTGGTTCAATTAATGCAGCAGTGATTTTTTTTTTTTCCAGCAAAAGTTGGCGGTTAGGGTTCTTTAAAATATATATTTAAATAACTTTTTACATTTACATATAATATCTTAAAAAACAAAGCCGAGAACTCAATCCCACACACCTCAGAACCCCAAGCACACACACTTTACAAAATAGAATAACATGTTATCAAAAGAGGCAAAGACTCAGAGAATTTTGTCTGTTGGTTTGTTAATGGGGGGGAGGTGGAGGTTGCCACAGAGGGCTCACATTTTGGGTTGAGAAGGAGGGCTCTCTTTATTACCACTTTTGTGTGTTTGTCAAAGCTAAAAAAAAAAAAAATTTTTTTTTTCTTTTTCTGAAGGAAGTCAGAGTTTGGCGTCTCCGTACAGTTCCCATTTCCACATAAGAGTTCCTTCTGGGCTCAGGCTCCTGTGCCACCGCTGTCTGCTGGGCGAGATGTCTGTCCTGGGAGAGAAAGAACAATCATCAGGGGAGGGAACCAGCACTGCAGGCTTCAGGCACAACGCACAGGGACCAGGCAAGGGACAAGGGTGTCTGTCCCAGCATGTGGCAGGCTCTCAGAAAGTGACAGGTCACAGCACTGGATGGACTGTGCACATGGCAAAGGGTTTAAGTAGAGCTCCTCATTCTGTGCCGAAAGTGCTGGCGCTTCCTGGAGAGCTGGCCTCCCTCATCTGGACGTGCAAAGCCTTCTGGAAGCCCTTCGGTAGCATGAAAACACAATGCACAGAAGCTGTACATCAGGCACGGGCAAGAACAGGGGAGCAGCCCCCATTCACAGAACTTACAGACCTCAAAACAAAGTGATTTCGGGGTGTGATAACCTGGGGAGGACACAGAGGGTGTGAGAGTAACCTGGGAGGTGCCTGGAGGGTGTCACTGAAGCCGAGATCTGAAGGAGGGAAGCAGCAGAGAGGTCTGGAGGCTGGCATGAGCTTGGCACATTAGAGGAACGGGATGCTGGCCACAGGGGCTAAATAAGTGAGCAAGGAGAGTGAAGCAGGTGGTCAGGGGCCAGATCACATAGAACGGGGTGAGGAGTTTACATTTTCAAAATTCTAAAGGTCGTGGCAAGTCATTGAAGGGTCTTCTAGTGTAAAGATATAGACTTACGTTCAAAAAAGACCACTCTGGCTCTGAAGTGGGATAGAAAGCAAGACTAGTGGCAGGGGATCAGTCAGTCAGAAGGCTTACTGCCTTCACCCTGGAGAGGGGGAAATGGGCCTAAGGGGACAGAGGCGGGACGCAGAGGGGATACATGTGGGATATACTTTGGATGTAGAACTTAACGCCGTGTTACGTAAAGGTACTGGACTGCACGCTATTATTGAGAAAAAATGTTTGTAAACTTTACAGCAATTGGATGATGTCTGCTGAATCTAGTCATAAAAATTCTGGGCTTGGATTTGCCATGTCTTTTGCTAAGTTTCATTTTCTAGGAAATCAATTTTTGCAGATGGTTGAGAAGCCCAGGACACTAGAGTGTGATGGGTAAGGCAGGCTCAGGGATGGTGTCTGCGCTTTTGGCCTGAGCATCTGGGTGGGGAGCCTTGGAGAAGGCAGGTGCAGAGGGAGGAATCTGGGAGCGCTGCTGCAAACCTGAGAGGCTGGGATACTTGTGTGGCATGTGGGGGGAGAGATCATGGAAGCAGAGGGCTCAATGGGTCTGGACCTCAGAAGAAGGGCTGGGTTGGAGAATAACACTTGTAGTCATCAGGTACAGAATTGTGTTTAAAGCCAAGGGCACAAAGGGAGTTGCTTAGAAAATGACTGTGGAGAAGAGGATCCCGACTATGGCCTACTGCCATCTGCTCTCACCTGCAGCCTCAGTGGCTGTGGTGTTAGACTCCTGAATGTCCTGGGAGGCACTGGGGAAGCCGGCCCTGGTGGCCCCAGCCTCGTCCAGAGGGCAGTCAGGAAGCAGTGGTGTCCTGGGCTGGCAGCACAGAACCCGCTCTTCTTCCTGGGCTCCCCCCAGATCCCTGTGGGGTCGCAGGACGTCGGGGCCCAGCGTCCTACCCCAAGGGCCGAGGCCATGGGTCCCTTGGCAGTCTGAGGGCAGGCCCAAGTCACAGTCCACATCCTCGGGAATGATGGGGATGCGCTGGCTCAAGTCCCAGGCCCCCGGGGGGCAGCTGGGAGGGGGCTCCTGGGCCAGCGTGTACTGCACGCTGACAGAGCAGTCCTCAGTGTAGCAGCCGCCGCCCCCGCCGCCGCCTTGGGCCACCTGCTTCTCTTCATAGAAGCAGCAGGGCAGGCCCTCATATTTCGCCCCATCTGTCCTAGGCAAATGGTCTGGGTGAAGGCCATACAGGCCCTGGGAGCTGCCCAGCTGTGACTCCCCGCCTGTGGGGCCACAGCCCTCACAGAGGGGGGCGCCCAGGAACAAGGTGCTACCCCCAGCCGCTCCCACGCTGGGTTCCAGTGAGGAGGGCTGGGGCTCGCAGCAGCAGGCACACGACGCCCCCTCATGGCCCCCCTTCCAGGTCCTCCTGAGGTCTGGGGCGGCCCCAGGAGAGGCCTCGAGCCCCACTTCTGAGGTAGAGCTGTTGGGCCCCCTGTGCTCCAGGGAAGAGTTGCTGCTGTAGTTCATCTCCAGGCTGCAGGTGGACAACTGGTCCCCCAAGGGAGAGGCAGGGCCGGGCCAAGGCTCCCCACGCCCAGCACCTTGACTATGGGCTGCTGGGAGCTCCTCAGGTGGAGGGGAACCCTCGAGGCGCACGACAGGCCCCCGGCCTGAGCTGCCTGAGCCCCCAACATCACTGGTGCGACAGGGGCTCCGGCTGCGGTAGATGAAGGGGTCATAGTCGCTGCTGAGGGAGCTACGGAAGGTGGAGCAGCTCCCGTACACACCCTGGTTGCTGACCTCAGTGCAGTCCACCACCGAGTCACTGGAGGAACAGTGGCACTGGCCCGAGCTGCTGCTGCTGCTGCTGCTGTCGCTGCCTGGGCAATCGGCCAGGTAGCCGCTGCACACCGAGCGATGGCCGTGGTAGCAGCTGAAGCTGGACGTGCTGCCGCTCTCCAGGTGGGAGGGCGGGGCCATGCGCACCGCTGTGGGGAAGAGCAGGCTGCCACTGCCATTCTGGGGAAAGGCACGGGTAGGGCCCCTGGCAGTGAGGCCGGGCGGGGCCTGACCTTCCTGCTCGGGGTAGCTGAGGCCTTGGAAGTAGTAGTGTTGGTACATGGTCTCATACTGGGAGAAGCAAGCTGCCTTGGAGAAGCTGCGGCCGCTAAACTTGGGCCTCCGGAAGGGGTGGGCTGGTGAGTAGGCCCGGTGCTCCAGGCTGCAGCGGTGCGGGGCGAGGGTGTGGTCCAGGTGCAGGGGCGGGTAGCCGCGGATGTAGGCGGGAGTCTGTGGCGCATAGAGGCTCTGCTCCCCGTGCCGGTCCACAGTCAGCAGCGTGACGGGGTTGCCGTGGGAGTCCATACTTGTCCTCGTAGGGTAGGCTGGGATGGCGTTGGTCCTGTGCACGCGGCCGGGGTAGTGCACCGGCAAGATCACCCTCTGCTGCCGGCCGCGTGCGAGGTTGCTGGTCTCCACGCACACGGTGCTTGGGTTGCCCTTTTGCTCTGGGGGGAGGCAGAGGAAACAAAGTCAGAAGGGCTGAGCGCACGGTGGTAGGGGCTAGAGGGATAGATAAATACGGGCAAAGACTGAAACAGCAGGGTTGGCTACATGCCGAGGTGCCCAGTCTCGCAACCCTGGCTCACCGTCTAAGCTGTCACCGAACTTGACCACGCTGGCAGAGGCTGACCTGCGTCTCCATCTAAAAGGTGGTCACTGCTGTAAAAGCATCTCCTACCTCCTCGCTGCTCTGCCCGACAAAGGCACCAGATGAGTTTGCAGAGAGCAACAGGGCTACCAAGATAAAAGGTGTTTTCCCTCTTGGGAAAACAACTACCTGGAGTGCACCATGTGTTCCGGCCCCCTCATCCAATACCAGTGATACAGGAGCAGCATCACAACCCTGACACCTCACACTCACTGTCTCTCGTGGCCTGGGAACAACCCCATAGTGGCAGGCATGGGTAAACATCATTACTGTCATTCTTGCTAAAGAGATTGTGGGCCTGAGGCTTGGTGAGGCCAGATGCCTTACTCAGGGTAATTCTTCATGCCAGGCTCTCCTAAGGATTTGGAGGCCTGGTGACCTCCAAAACCCAAGGCCCCACGCCTTCAAGTCCAGATGGCAATGCTGCAGCAGTTTTATCGCTCACCAGCCTGCAGCAAGTGTCACATTCTTGCTAGGCACTTGGTAGGGACATTGGCTCTTTAGCAATGATGGAGGCCAGCGACAATTACCTATGATGTTGTGTCGACAATGGGGGCAGGTGTGGTGCTGCAGCAGCCATGGGTCCACGCACTTCCTGTGAAAGCGGTGAGTACAGGGGATAACCCGCAGCTCCTGGGGAGGGAGAGAGGACAAACAGCCTGTTCCTGTGGAGCCCGGCATGGACCAAGGAGCCCTGGTCACCATGCCAGTCCCTCCTCATCTCAGCCCCATCTCTCGCTCAATTCCCAGACACATGGGTTCTAGGGAGAAGGAAATGGCCCCTCAGCCAACCCCAACCATAACCCTCAGTGTTAAGGGAGGAAGCACGCAGTTGCAGGCTTCTTTCTGGTCGACGGGGGAGGGCACTCACATTCATGCCACACGTGAGGGAAGACCAAAGTCCTGTGCTAATGCAGGTAGGCAGCCCGGGGGTGTGGAGAAAGCCCAGGACCATGGCATCTTTGGGAAGGTTGCCGCCTCCAGGTACTCGAATGGGGACGAGTACAAAGGAATATGCCCCAAACTCGTGATTAACAGGTCGGGCAGGCAAGGGGTGCAGTTCTCCCGTCCTCTCCTTCACTGGATTCCTGAACACTCACCTCGGGCACATGGTTTATAACAAAGCATCCTACGTGGAGAGGTGATGGGGTTTTCTGAGGCAGAACCGCCTCTGGAGTTCCTGATCCCAAGCACCGTCCAAATTTGCTAATTTTACTTTGTTTTTTCCCCCATTCTCTGACCAGCTCAACACAATCATATTCAAACAAATACCTAACGTTGTGCCTGACCTTGGCAAGTGTTCTCCCTATATTTTCTCATGTAACCTTCATGATAACTGAAGTGCAGGTCAGTCTTGGGCCCATGACACAATCATAGGCATAGAGAATGAAATCACTTGCCCAAGATCACAAAGCTAGAACCTGCCGGGGGCCAGGATTAGAACCCAGGCAGTTTGCCCCTATAGACAATGCAAGATGCTTAATGTAAGGACCTCTGTAAATCTCATTTTCCATCCAATAGTCCACAGGGCAGTGGAATACTTTCAAAGGGGCATCAAATGTCTGCAACTAATTCTGAAGTGGTTTACTCCCTAAATGTTTATGTATGCCTCTATCTAGAAAGAGAGTAAGCAAACATGGCAAAATTTAACAGTAGGTGATTCTAGGTTAATGATACAAGAATCATCGGATGATTCATGTAACTTTTACGAAGGTTTGAAAATTTCAGAATTAAAAGCTAGAAGGAAAAAAAAGAGGACACCACATCCCTTGTCTCTTTATAAGTAAAAGCACCAAATATTCCACAGAGCTTTGGAGGAGAGGTTTGTATCAAGTCAGGTCTCAGAGTTTTCAGAAGAGCAATTTTAAAATTAAGTCAACATGTGAGAAGGTTCTTAAAACCAGACATGTTCTGGCCTCTCAGATATTTCTGATCAACTTCCCAAATCACTTCCATTCAGCTGGGTCCTCTGGAGAGAGTGTCTGTGCACCGTGGCCACCCCCTTCTAGGGGGAAATAGCAGTTAGAATGTCTCAGACCATCCCCTTGAGACCTAGGCACTGAAGCCCTTCTGCTCCTGCAAAGCTGTGGGAAAAGGACATGGGGCCCTGTCCTTCTAGGTCCCGTTTTCCTCTGCTGACTGGTCCACCTCATCCCCATCTAGGACGGGCCTGGCCTCAGCCATTACCTCTCCGTCGATGTACTTCTCAAGGCAGATGGCACAGTCAGATGTGGAGCTGCTGCTGAGCGTGTCCAGGGCCCCACAGCTCCCCTCCCGGCGTCCCTTGTTCTTGGAGTTGAACTTCCTGGTTTCCATCTTCTCCAGAGCCTGCACAGCCAGCCTGTTCATGGAATTCTGCATGGCAGGATGTGGTCGGTGTTAGGGTCTAGCATGTCTTAACAGCTGTAGTCACCCCCAGGGCCATGGCACGTGATGAATCAGGACGGGCAAATGCTAGTCTCTATCAGGCCAGAACAGACTTTGGAGAAATCACTAAAAATTCAGACTGCCACAGCACAGATTTGCCAGATTCCTGAGTGTCCCCCGACATCAAACCAGGTTCTTCCCAGGACCAGCAGAGGTCTACTTCAATTACTTGGCCAACTCGGCAGGGCCCTGAGTCATTAACCTGCTCTGTGCCAAGGGTTCCTCCTCTTTACACTGAAGAAAGTTCTGAGGGCAAATGAGACAATGAGCGTGAGTGCTCAGCACTTGGCCAATGAGACGTGCTTGACAAACGCCAGCCACTGTTCTATTGGTGATGGCCATACAACCCTTGTGAGAACTCAGTGACTGCCCGCCAAGGTCCACCACCTCTCTCCTGAGATGTGCCACTGCTACCCGAAAGTCTGGTTCCCGCTTTTCATCACCCTCCATCCCCAAATCCTTCTTTCCTACATAGTGATGTGCCAGCTGGGGCACTAGAGTGCCTCCTGCATTCATTGAGAATCGTCTGCTGAGCCTGGCAGAGGCAGGTTCGGATTCAGCAGGTCTGGGCGGGGCCTGAGAGTCCGCATTTCTACCAAGTGCCCAGGGGATACTGATGCTATTGGTCCCCAGGTCAAGGCTCTAGGGTTCCACGTTAACATCTAAATATTTCTTTGGAAAAAACTCCAGGCTGGCAACAACCCCATGCTCAGCCTTTTTGGGACTGGACCTTTTGGAACAGAGAAGACACAGTGCTAGGAGCTGTGCTCTAGTTTTTCTCCATCTTTGTTTGTTGTTTCTGGGCCCCTGGGAACAGACTGCAGAGCTCAGGCTCCAGCCCTCATTTTCACCAGCGGCACAGCAGCGGGCATCAATGTCCATGGGCTGCTCTGAGGTATTACCTGACTGCGTCGCTGCTTCAGCTTGATTTTGACAAGGAGGATGAGGCAGACCAAGGAGACCACGACGAAGAAAGCCAGGAAAATCCCCATGTCGAAGTATTCCGTGGGTTGCTGGAACAGAGCACAGATACGGTGAGTCACAGCTCTCTTCAGCTGGAGGATCGGTGCACGGGCTGTGCTGGCTCAGGTCAGGATAAGGATGGGGCAACGAGGTGTGCTTCCCCTCATTTGCAGGAAACACCTGGGTTTCTGCTAACATGCACACTGTGTGCTATCCAGGCCCAGGTAGTACCCTCCAGTACGGCAATGGGGAAGCCAACAGCGCTCTCAGTCAGCCTCCTAAAGGCCAAGAGAATCCAGTTCATAAAGCCTACGTCCCCATGGAATAGCGTAGAGTTCGCTATAACCGGTAGGAGAGGCCCTTCCAAATAAACACAAATATCACATTTATGGGACAAAGGAGTGAGTGTCATGTTTTGAGGGAACAGTGATTACTAACCATATAATTAATGGTTTACAACAACTCAGAAAATTGTACTCTGCTTCCACAAATATCAGCTTCCACTCCAATGAGTCATATTTACCAGAGCACTCTTTTTTCCTTTAAGAAGAAGCCAACAAGTCAGTTCTTCAGCAAACTCCCTCTAGTTCTAGCTCTTACCTTTTTCCTCACGACTCACTCCCTCCTAAGACCTTGAGGCCACCTCATCTAGGACACGCCTTTAGACAACAGGAATAGAGTTTTGCTAAGCGAATGCTGTGGGTATCCAGATATTTTGTGCATGCAAAAGAATTATCCTCTATGTGAATATTGCCGTGCTTCTGAGGAGGAAATAAACCATTTATGGGGCACCTGTCCCAGGTTCCTAGAATCTTCAGCCTGAGGTTTGGACAGAAGATGCCAGACAAGAGGTAATGGCCAACACACTTAAGCCTTAAATGCTATTTATTAACCACCTGGAGATGAGGAACTTCAACCCCAGTTGAAAGCTAACTTTTCCAGACTCAAATATAAGTTAGGGGGTTTCAAAAACGCAATTTGCCCAATGGGGAAGAAGGAAGTACAGGCCTTTTTCTGCAGTCTAAGTCACATGGATGGAGGGAGACATGGGGAGCTGAATGCTGGGTATTCTTTCCCTTCAATCCTCCTCAGTCAGCCTTTCAGAAGGAGATGGGACAGATGAGAAAGGACGAGAGGTTACCAAGAGAGAGCGCTGGGTGGAAGAGACCAGAGACATCATCACATGCCTCCTCTATTTCTGGCAGGACTTTTCAAATCCTCTCTACAAGAACACTGGTGAAATTTCTCCCTGGCCTCCAGCCTTTTACCTGACCTAAACCTGAAGGAACCTGGGGGCGCACCAGCATTTCAGACAGAAAGAAGACAGGAGCCAAAGCCCAAAGGGAATAGAGGTGCAGGTGGCAGCAGAGAAGGTGCCGGGTGTGGTCAGCCAGGGCGGAGGCTCACTCGAGGGGGGCGGTGCTGAATCCTTGCCCGAGCCACTTTCTGCTTGTTGACGATGTTCATCAGCTTGATGGCATCTGCACCCTTCACATACACAACTGGCCTCTTGAGCGGGTCTTCCGAACCCTGGTTTAGCTAAGGAAGAAGAGATGCCCCTGGTTAGAAGGTGTGCTTCCTTTAAGCAGCAGGAGAGAGATTAAGGAAGGCCGGAGGAAAAGAATACTAAATACCGGTTTGGAAAGCCTCAAACTCCTCTAGCGTTATAGCCTTCGAGCTTTCAGAAGGTCAAGGCTGAGGATGATGCTTGTTTTAGGACGGGCAAGCTGAAGGTCCGGAAGGGTCTTTGAAAATGCCTCCCCCACCCCCAACTTCTTGGCTCTTAACCCCTCTCAAGAGACTTGCCTTGGAGTATGATATTTCAACATGGATACCTAATGTCAGCAGGCATGTGCAAAGGCCCTGAGATGAGGGTGACATGACTGTGACAAGCTAAGCCAACTAAAGGAAGTGCTTCCCTCAGGAAGACTGCAGTGTTGGCACGGCCCAAGGAGTTTACCTGGTCGATAGCTTCTGGGTTTTCAGACACATCAAAGATGACTGCGGTGGCTCCCCGCTGCACTGCTCGCTTGGCCTGGCAGAGTAAAAAAGAGCAGGTTGGCACTCTGGTCCTGTTACTTTCCCAAAGCTGGCCTTGGAAATCAGACCTGTATTCCACTGTAGAACCTGACAGTTACCAACTTAGGTGACTTTGGGCAAGTTATTAACTTTCCTAAGCTTCATCTTTCCCATCTGTAAAAGAAGGGGGGGGGGTGTAAGGGGGGCATGCTACCTACCTTGCAGTTCTCCTGAGAACCAGATGAGTTAGCATAGGTGAAAATAAATAACTGGGTACTCAGCTAACCTTTGTCTTCCTATCCAGCCTAAACATTAAAAACCAACTACCAACCAACAACCTGCCCAGTCAGCATAAAGGTATTGGTTTCACTATTTTCTGCTATGAACACAAGAGTCATTGGCAGCCAAAGCAAATGCCTTTGGTCCTTCTCTTGTGGTCCTTCTTCCTTCCCATGTCATCCAGCACTGCAGTTAGAATAGCATCCTAAATATTTCTGAAGGAATCTCGAAATGGTCCATTTTAATAACTGACATAAGCAGGAGACTTTTGGAGACGCTGTCAGAGGGACAAGCTACGAGAAATCATTATAAATGGGGATTTAGAGCAGTTGGCTGCCAAGCCTGGCCACACATCAAAAACCACTTGGGCATTTTATTTTGTAAAGCAGATTTCCTGGCTCAAACCACAGAGACTGATTCAACAGGACTGGAGGAAGGCCCAGGAAACTGAGTTCTGAAATATTTCTGAGGGATCCTGGTGCTTCAACCACTCGGGGAACTATTGATCGGAGATGTGAGATGAGGATGTTTTGGGAACAAATGAGAAGGGGTGAGATTACTGGGGAAAAGGATTCCCTTCCATCCCAACGGGCCTTCTACCTCTATGTGCAGCTAAAGTGGACAATGGGGGGTAGAATCTGTGAGAAAGAAAGACATAAGACATACCCCCGCTTTTAGGAAACCAGATCTTGTTAGGGAAGTAAGATATCTCTAACATGTAGGGAAAAAACCAAAATAAAACAAACAAACAAAACCACCTATAAGATGGGCAAGTGATGGCTAGTGCTCAGAGGTCAAGAAAGTCTCTATGGGCCAGAGTGCTTGAGAAAGAATAAAATCTTATAAAATCTGAATTCCTTCCATAGGAATAATCACTCTACAAGAAGGCGGCATAAGAAAGCACTGAACTCACGCAGATGTGAGTGTGGCTAGACCAATGGCTCCACCAGCCCACTAGAGGGCAGTCGTATCCCACAGCTTTTACAATTCTCTGTCCTTTGCAGGGAACAAGCAGGACAGTGAAATCCTCAGGGATACCCCCAAGTCCTCCACAACTTAACAAACCCAGGCACCCTGGGTGCTGTGCTGCAGAAACTGTCCTAGTTCTGTTGGGGTCTCTTTCTTGTTGAACTGAGATTCAATGTATTTAATGTCTCCTCTGCTACTTCTTCATCCCACCCCATTTTATCACCAGAATGCTGCAGTCAGGAGTAACTCTTAGGAGCTATTTATGGCTCTGCCACTGAGAAGCTGCCAACGGTGGGCAAGTCACCGAATCTCAGCTTCAGCCTCATTTCCCCAGGAGGAAGGAGCCTATGTCATTATGACTAAGGTCCCTTCCAGTTGCTGTCTTGAACATTCAACTGAGAGGCAGGGGACTGTCCAGAGCGACCGAGAAAGTGCCGCAGTTGCCCTGTCACCCACCTCTAGCAGAAAAGGACATGATAGCACAGCGAGAAAGTTTGAGGCCAGGTGGCATCACTTTCCTCCATAAAACTCTTTAGGGGCACAGACTCCTTTGCCTGAAGCCAACAGCTCACGGACCCCAGAGTTAGCAGTGAGTAGGGGCTTGCGTTATCTGCTCAGGTGGTGTCCCAGTCTTTTTCACACACTTTCCCAAGGTGTAGAAGGGCCCTGAGGAATAGCAGGAAAACAAGGTAACAAATAGGACCTCTGGTTCCTTTATTTGGCTTTCATTCCACGATCAAGCACATCAAACAGCACCCGAGGGGAATGTGCGTTCAGAAACGTCTTAATCGGGAGCACCCAGCACCTCCCGCTTTGATGCTGGCGCACCTGGAGAGTCTAATGGCCGCAGGATGAAAGCCTGCAAGCCTTCAGCCTCCTCACGTGGCCTTCCCATGCTTTCAGGCCTCCCTGCTCCACACAAACGGGAAGTCTCAGGGCTTTGGAAGTGAGGCATAACCCACCTGGGACAGGCACTTTTTAAAAGATATTTGAAATAAAAATCCAGGAGGGTTGACCCATCTCCTGGTTTCTACAGTGAAGATAGCAGGTCAAGAATAAGGTGCTTAAATCCCACTTAATTCCTTAACCTCAGACACAACCAGGCTAACGCATGGGCTCCAAGTACAAACATTTTGTTGGAAAAGGATAATTCTCCCAGTTGACTTCCTTTGAGAATTACGTTTAATGTAAGCTGCTATTAAAATAAGGCTGCATTTCCTGCACATACGAGGACTGGGCAGGAGGAGAATCAACACAGGATCCTACTGAGAACTTGCCTGTCAGGAGCCGACTCAGGATTTAAAATAGGCCACGAATAATCCATATTTAGAAAATGACACATTTATTATACTAGTCCCAAAGCAAATTAAAAAACACAGAACACCATTTGGTCACACTTTCCCCCTCACCACACGTCTTCGGTTTGATGGATGACACATATAAAAAATCTTCATATTTTAGATCGTTCATCTTCTTACCGAGCCACGCTTGGGCCAGAATAATATTTCAAAACCAAGCTAAACCATCTCTGGGAGAGTACCAGTCTTGTGATTGCCAGAATCCCCATCTTTATAACGTCCAAAATTCTCAAGACAAGGCTGTTTCATAGAAAGGACGGGAAAGATGCAGCCTGGTAGATGTTGCTCGAGGAAGGTCACTGGTCAACCAGGCTAGTCACAGAAGGCAGTCACCCTCGCACTGTGCACAGGCCGGAAGGGAAGAAGAGCACGAGAAGGGTGTGAGCAGCAGAAAACAGGTGGGGAGTGTCGGCAGTCCTCCGAGAAGGCTGTCGTGGTTCTTTCTTTACCTTTCCAGGGCTGCAAGACCTGAGGCTAGACAATACCCATCACCACTGAGACAAGTATCAAAAGTACAGACATCCGCACACTTATATTTGGCAAAGTACACAATTTCGAGCCCTAGAAGACAGGGTCCTACTACAGTTGGCACTTACAGCAATGCAAGACTCCTATGGTTGGTTATTCAATAAGTGTTTATTCTAAATGAAAGAGAGCTTGCCTGGGATCATACTCTTGGGTTATTGTCCCTGAACGTGGATGTGGTTTTCCCCTAAGGAAGTGCTTCTCTATCAATCTGATTGAGGGGTTTTTTTTTGTTTTGTTTTGTTTTCTTTTTAAAGTTTGGGCCAAACTGATGACATGTGCTGGAGAGCAAGATCTCAAATGTGAATGGGGCATTCTGATGAGAATAGTTCCATCACTACCTTGTGGGTGGGAAAACTTAAAGCCTAAAGTCTGCTTTAGTTTCCATTAAATTCAGGAAATCCAGTCAGGAACGGATCTGGCACTTTACCCGTGTGTGCAGTTGTGTATACCCAGGCTTTGTTTGGGGCTCGGTCCCACCCCATACCTACTCCTCGGAGGCCCTGGGCATATACTCCACTTTTCACCTGTTGTTCATCTGTTTGTCAAGCACTGGATGTGGTGTCCCCAGTGCCTAATCTTTATTGTAGAAAAACTTTGACAGAATACAACCTTAATGGGAAATAACCCAAAAGATGACTAACAATCTCCTTTGTCCTCAACTCCTGACCGTGTGATAACCAAGGAAGCAGGAGTATTAGTGCTGATTTGAAGACATGTGTCTTCAACCTCTTACAGAAAGTTCTGACATAGGAGGGCTGCTTTTTTTGCTTTTATTGAATAAAAATTTGCATTCTGTTGGTTTTTCTGAACTTTCATAAGCTTACAACAAGTCATTAAAAATTCTTTGTAAATATCTTTAAGGCTGTGATATATCTCTTCATTTCTCTCCTCACTCGTATATTTTTTTATATTTGGGCTATTCCAGTTTTTTACTGTTATAATTAGTGCTACATTAGAAACATCTTGGCTTATATTTCCAATTTCCTTAGCATGGAGGCTCAGGGCTGAAAAATATGAAGATTATTAAGAATCAATACAATCCACATTTAATGTCCCTCCTTATAAACCCATGCAATTCAACTGATCTGCAGTGATGACAAGATAGGACGGCACAGACAACACAAGACAAATTTGTCAAGAGACTTAACTTCTGGATAAACTGGCCTATTGGTGAGCTGGCTAGGAGAAGGAAGTCAGTTTGAGAATAACTGCATGATACATACTTCACACACAGAAACACACTCCAGAGTGAACAATGAGTTGATCATACCTATCCTACTGATTCTTCAAGGTCAAGTTCATGTGCGACCCCTCCCATAAGACTGACAAGTGCTTCTCTTTAGTCAAAAACAGCTCTTATCCCTTTCTGAGCCCTAGTATCTCTAAAGATTTCTCCTCTGCTGCTTACCGCTTTCTGTGATGCATTTTCCCTCCCCCAGATAGGACCATCTTTAGTGTTTTCGCTATTATAAAGGTAGAATGTGCTCGATGGGAAAATTGTAATACAGCAGGTCCTCAAATAACATTGTTTTGTTCTAACATTGATGAGAAGGAAAAAAAAATCGATTCCTGGTCGGGCCACTGTCTGTGTGGAGTTTGCACATTTTCCCCATGTTTACGTGGGTTTTTCTCTGGAGACTTGGGTTTCCTCCCACATCCCAAAGATGTGCACGTGAGGGGAACTGGCGTGTCTACACTGTCCCAGATGGAGGGGGACGGAGACGTGCACCCTACAATGGGCGGGCGCCCTGTCCAGGGTGGGTTCCCGCCTTGCGCCCTGACCTGTAATAAACAGGTTGGAAAATAATGTTCTTTCTTGTTTTTATTCATCTTTCTTAAGTGTATGTATAGCCCACATTTATTTCAATGTTTAATAGAAGTG